TACGCCGAATTCTTAACCAGAGACCAGTGTGTACGCGATCATAATACTCACAGTTATAACTTTGGCGTTGCAAATACTGCAGAGCGCCTACGTCTCAAAAAGACAAAGCGATTGATACAACAGTATCCAACTGGCGATTCTACTTGATAACATTATGGTAACTGTCCCCCGCCATGTGCTAAATTCTCATAAAGAAGATGACGTGTTCGCAAAGATAATACTAAAAGCTGCTTCAGCATATTTAGAACGACTTCATTTCACTTATGTTTCAAAATTATTCTTTTGTTACATGCTTTTTTTTAAAGTATTCGTTGAATGCATGTGTCAATCAAAACTTTACAAGAAATGTTGCACTTTATTTACATAAGTTCATATTGACTTCAGGAATGCGGGAGGTAAATCTTGAGTTAGCCCTCACACTTTTTCCCCCAGGGCTTTAGCCCCTGCATGCATTGAATCTTATCGCAACGTATCAGCTTACAACTGCGAGGATATGTGCTGAATAAATTTTTTCTAAGCATCCATACAACAATATTCTAACTTGTAAAAAATTGGGGATACGTCAAAACAAATATTGTGCAAGTACACTTATATAGAACGATGGGAAATTTAACCATTAAAAAGAAAATTCTTTCAACACTGCGGGAAAGAACTTGAATGCATCTGAGTTTTAGCCGCTGTCCGGAATGACAGGCGCTATATCATGATTTAAATGAATTTAAGAATTTCTTATCACGAAACATCCTGTTAGTTTTGTTACTTATTTGAAGAAAAAAAACTCTGATTAATATTTATAACGACAAGAAAAATTTACAGAGGTAACAATGGACGTGGGAAAAATGTGGAAGGAAAAGTGTGGGGAGCGGGGCGTTCTGCTTCGAGTGGTCTTATTTGGAAAGGGGTGGGGGGGTAGGACTTTTGGCTAGTTTGTATTGGTTTCCCTTTATTTTTTTTTTATTATTATGTACCGACAGCAACTGTTTTAATAAGTATCGCACCCACTATAAAATGAAAGTGCGCCTTACTTAAAATTGAACAAAGGATTAGCTCCATTCAAAAAATAAACATTTGAGATACAAAGAGCATGTTAAACTCCGGGGGAAAAAGACGTTTGCCTTTTTATAAAAAAATGTCACAAGAAGACAGTAGCAAATATACAGGCAAACGTTTTTATATCTTAGATTAAAAAGCCAAGTTATTTTTAGACATTTTAACTTTCAAATCGTCAATCATAGTTACCTAATGTAGAGTTGCTAGAGTTTGTGGTACGGCGTGATCCTTGACTTAGCGGCCACCCAATCACGAAACATAACGTAGAGTTGCTAAGAGTATGTGGTACGGCGTGATCCTTGACTTAGCGGCCACCCAATCACGAAACATAACGTAGAGTTGCTAAGAGTATGTGGAACGGCGTGGTCCTTGACTTGGCGGCCACCCAATCACGAAACATAACGTAGAGTTGCTAAGAGTATGTGGTACGGCGTGATCCTTGACTTAGCGGCCACCCAATCACGAAACATAACGTAGAGTTGCTAAGAGTATGTGGTACGGCGTGATCCTTGACTTGGCGGCCACCCAATCACGAAACATAACGTAGAGTTGCTAGAGTTTGTGGTACGGCGTGATCCCCAATCACAAAACCTAACGTAGAGTTGCTAAGAGTATGTGGTACGGCGTGATCCTTGACTTAGCGGCCACCCAATCACGAAAACCACGAAACAATCACAATCATAAGCCATACCTAGATAGTTTTGCCCCTTTTTGGCGGTGCGAGGAGACAATTAAGGGAGTTCGGGCGAAAGGGATCAGATGGTCAATTTAAAAAAAAAAAACAAAAAGAACAGTGAACCTAACTTCTAAGTTAAGACACAAACTGTGTTTGCCTATATAGTTTTTGACGATCCTCTTTGACATCCCAGTGGGAGACTAATGGATTAACTCTTACTCTTATTAGCTAATGATTTGTTTATGTGTTATCATTGCTTATGCTTTATTAATGCTTTAATAATTACTTATGTTTTATTGATCTTATTCATGCTTATATTTTACCCACATTTTATAAGTGTTTAAATGTTGTTTATTTGCCATTCATCTCTAAAGGGCCATCCTTATAGTTATGTACGAACTGGAAGTGTGCGGGCGGGTGGTGGGGGGGGGGGTATTTGATTTTAGAGATTTTGCTTTCTCGTGGATATGACACTGAAAAAGGGGGTGGGGGAGTATCGGCAGAAAGTACGTACAGTTATTCCAGAATTATACAATAATCACCATCACACCCTGAAAGTCCATTCATCTCTAAAGGGCCATCCTTATAGTTATGTACGAACTGGAAGTGTGCGGGCGGGTGGTGGGGGGGGGGTATTTGATTTTAGAGATTTTGCTTTCTCGTGGATATGACACTGAAAAAGGGGGTGGGGGAGTATCGGCAGAAAGTACGTACAGTTATTCCAGAATTATACAATAATCACCATGACACCCTGAAAGTCCAAAGAGAGCATATTTATCTCTCTAATGTTGTAAACAGATCACGAAATGTTTAGCTGGATTTATTGTCATAATGGTGCCCCTTTGTTTTCCACAAATGACCTCACAAATTATCGCTCATATAGTACTCAGTAGTACACATTTAGGTTTTCACCAGACGCCCTGTTTTAATTTCTAACATCTATACCCCTGCAAAAGCGAATACATAAACAAAAACGAGATTGGCGTGTCGGGTAAAACTATGTAAACAACGTATGCAGGTCACTAAGCGTTATCATTGGTCACGTGGTATAAACTGAGTCTATGCCAAGCTAGTGATCTGGAGTCAAATCTCCACCAAAGACCAAGTGAAAGGAACAAAAAAACAACACCAGCACCCCGGGTGGATGGTACCCGTTAACCTTGGGTGGCAACTCATCTAAGTGTAGGAAACACTCTATCAAAACACGGAGAAGGAAGGAGTCCGCTGGCGGATACATTAATAAAATGAAAAATTCCGACAACTCCTGCGGCGCAACTGGTGTCAAGCTGTATGATCCGTATATGCTGTTCCCTTTGGGATATCCAGTGGCGTGGAGACAGACGATGTGCTATCTGGGGAATCAGCTTATAATCCTAAAGAAAAAAAATCCCAGGCCTTGTGATTTCATCCTGCGAAGGCTACACCATCGTCATATTGTGATTTGGACGGATGACAGTAAAAAAAAAAAGCTTCCTTAAATAACTGCAAACAAAAGTTACTCAATTGCTTTACGGCTTGCACCACGACCGTTAGATGTCATAGTGTTAGATGTCATAGTGTTAGATGTCATAGTGTTAGATGTCATAGTGTTAGATCTCATAGTGTTAGATGTCACAGTGAATTAATTGTAGAAATAAAATCCTTAACATTAACGTTGTTTAAATATGTGCAGCATTCGTGTGAGGAAGCCGCATCAATACAGAGCAGGGCCGAGGCGTGGAGAAGCGGCGCCTGGGGCAAAGCCGGAAAAATGGTGCCCTTAATATGTCTAAGATAGGGCCACAGGGTGGATCATTAACAAGGCGATTTTTTGGTGCCCTCAGCCTTTCTAAAGTGTAAGAGATTTTATATTTAATTCACTATTAAGGTCGCATCTAAAGGCGATTATGATGCCCATGGTGATGGGGTCCAGGGCCACTGCCCTCTTCTTCCTATTCTCATGGCAATGCCCGAGGGCAGAGGTTCGTGGCGGATGTTTTGGGAACAACTTGGCTCACCAAAAAAAGTCTGCGATGAAAAAACGTGACACATTATTTTCCCGTGACGTCATATTTATCTATAAATTATCGGGCGGGGGGGGGGGGGTTAGAAAGTCGCAGGTAAGTAAGCATTGGGCT